TGGCGGCGCTTTCATCCGGAGAGGCCGAACTTCTTTCGGTAGCCTCGAGTTTGTGCGATGGATTCATGATCCGTGAGCTGCTGGACTTCCTCGGTTATGGTCGTGTCAAGATTTTTCATCATCTTGATGCCAGTGCCGCCAAGGCGATCTTGGAGAGATCCGGTGTCGGCAAAGTGCGGCATCTTTCGTGCCGAGTTCTATGGTGCCAACAATTGGTGAAGCAGAATGAAGTTGCTTTGCTGAAAATATCGACAACGTTCAATCCCTCAGATTTGATGACCGAGAGTTTGAGCAGAGCAAGAACGTTCATGTTGATGTGTCTTTTGCGTGTGTGGGATGACATGAACAATTATTTTGTCGGCACGCATGAGCTCAGAGAGGAGAGAGAGAAGCAGACGTTCAAGCAGAGCATGCATGTACTTCGTAACATTCGTGTGCCGATCATGATCTCAAAGAGTGCACTTCGTGCGATGGTGATGAGCAGCATGATTTCAGTCGGAAGCGCCTTGAGCTTTGGCAGCGGCATGGATGCGTTCACAACAGTGTATGCTCTTATGTTCATCGAGTTTCCACTGATGACTTTGCTATTGTACATCTTCACGGTGGCCGTGATTGGAACCATCATGTGTATGCGCACCCAGCCTACGGTTGTGATCAAGAGCTTTGACAAACCACTCCGCGATGAAAAGATGAAAGATCCAGTCGATGTTACAAGCCGTTCCAGCTCTAAGAGTTCTTCTGGCTCGGTTACGGGCGAGGAAGTGATGATCAAGCAAAGGCGTAAGCGATCCACTACAAAGACCGAGCACCCAGTTTGGATTGCAAGCGAGTTTGGAAAGAAGTACCACATGATTGGGTGCGGCACGTTGAACCAATCCCTTGAGGTGACTGAGCTTGAAGAGTCAGATGCAATCGCCAAGGGCATGAAGCCATGCAGTTTCTGCAATCCTCATCGTGTGTACCATGGAGATGCGAAGAACAAGTGAACAATGAATGCATATGAGCCCATTTACGTGCTTCAATGTTTACGTTGCACAGGGCATGTGTGAGTCCATTTGCGTGCATCAAAGCTTACGGTGCACAGGACATGAGCCGGCATTTTGTCGATAAAATTAGCTTGTGTACATTATGGTACATAGAAAGCTGAGAACTTAGCACGTGGAGCGTGCGACACTTGCCTCTGCACTTAGTGTTCTTTCTCACCGGAGCCTCGTGACAGTTTGTTTGCTTGCACTACGAAGACCGTCCCACTAGTTCTGCTAGCGTCGGTACAGGTGGCTTTGGAAGTCACAAAGTTTTCTGAAAGCATTAGCCGCGTAATACGTGGCATGCTTTAGGCGGGGTGCAGAACTTTGCATCCGTATGTACAAGTACATTTTCGGTATCCGTTGGACGGTACTGGTAAGCCTCTTTTGCTTTGCAGCTTTGAGCTCCGTTTTCAGTTGTACAGTTGAAGACTTGAGATTCTTGCAGCGCTTTTGTCCGAGCGAAAATTGTCACTTTTGGCATGATGACTGGGCCACGCGCAAGAGCTCCGAAGTTCAAGCTTCGAGTGAGTCTTTTGGGACTCAGCTCCTCCCAAGTCGAAGCGCCCCGGAATTGCCTGCTGCCGCTTTGCAGGCTCAAGAATCTCCTTCGGGAGCACTTTCAAACAAGAGCATGCGCTCTACAACCTCCGGCGGAGCCGAATTTGAATTGGCGTTGCTTCGACGGGAGTGTGACAGCTTGAGGAAGTCCCTGGATGACTCAGCTCGAAGGGAGCAGGGCCTGGCGGCCCAGCTCCGAGCTCACCGTGTAGTCCAGGAGCAGACCGCTGACGGTCGCATTGTGCCTTTGGCAATCCTGGAGGCCGCGCCCCAGGCGCGAGGTGGAGAAGCTCAGGTAGCACTCCATCCGGACTCCGACTTTTTGGGTCCGTCGTTGCAACTGATCAACGACGCTTCGTGTGTCGAGATCTTGTTCACCGCGTTCACCTATAACGATCCGGAGCTTACCACTGCTGCGACCGCAGCCAAGCTGCGAGGAGCCGATGTTCGATTGCTTATCGATTTGCAAAAGGCTCATGCTTGCAAGGAACCGGGAAAGATTTTGCAGCAGCTCCTGGATTCGCAGGTCGAAGTTCGCACCACGTGCGGAAAATCCCTCTCGGAAGTTTATGGGGGTAGCTTTAGAGGTTGTAAGGGAGCCCTCCATGCGAAGACCGCTCTCATCCGAAGCCGTGCTTCGGGAGGCGGGGATGATGGAGTGATTTTGTTCATAGGTTCCCACAACCTCACGAAGGCCTCCCGTGCCAATCGCGAGTTCGTGACCGAGTTACGACTGCCCGCGAGCGACACTCGCGTTGCTACGTACCGTGCGTGGTACGAGAGCATGTGGAGCGCATCCGAGGGGATCCAAGTGGAGACTGGCGCCGCGCCACGCCGCCGCGTGCGAGGCAAGAACGCCCCGCCAAACGCTGCTGCTGAGTGAGTGGTAGCACGAATCTTTTTAAANNCCGGGGCTGCTGAAAGGGGCACCCCGCTGTAGAGTGCTGCAGAGATTCGTGCAAGCGTTTGTTGTGCAAGCGTTTGTCTGCCAGTCGCCGTTGCAGTTCGAGTGACGTGCCCCGCTGTGGCACTGATCCTTAGCAGTAGTTTTGTGCAGTAGCCATAAAGGACACAACTACTACCGGTGCTGGTTGCACT